TGCCAAGCACAGTAACAACAAAATCTCCAATGGAGACGTTACTGGGCCCACTCGAGCAAATCGATGAACAACAGGAGGGCCTTTACCTTTACCTTACCTAAGGAGTGCTATTGAATAGCCTGATAAAGGAGATTGGAAGTATAAAGTGCCTGCATTAACTTTCCCCCACAAAGATAACAGTTTTAAAGATGAATTCAGCAATTCCTGATGGCTATTGAAGGGTAAGTTCCTTGTAGAAACCTACTCCTCCACGGGGCAATCTGAAGAGAATAAAGGTGGGGGAAAGCTGAGTAACAATGGGATAGACTTGGGGCCAGAGCCAGGCTTATCTGTCAAGTTGAAGATTAGGTGTAGAGTATCAGGGAGATGGAAATTTAGGGGAGAGGGACCCCACCCCAGCACCACCCACTTCAAGGGGCTGGTGCAGAGACTGAAGGTCATGCTGTTGTAGAGGATGCAGAGAGAAGCATCATCCTTTCTCTTTAGCCAGGCAGACTGCACCATCCACACTCTGCTCTTCCTGCCTCAGTGAGCATGAAGGAGTGACTCACGTTTCCCTGCATCTGAATTCCTTTTAGCAGTGACTAGCTCAGATAAAATGAAATAATGGATGGCAAGTTCTTTGCACAAAGAAAGCAGGAGAATGTAGTTACTATTCATCTGGACTTCAGTTTCCTCTATTTAATGTTGCAATCTGCAGGGCCGGGGAGATGGTTCAAAGGGCTGGAGTGCATGCTTTGCGTGCAGTGGCCCTGGCTCCAACTTGGCACTGCATGGTCCACTGAGTACCACCGGGGAGTGGCCCCTGAACTTTTAGATTGATGTGGCCCCAATCTAAACATATTTTAAAAGCACTGCAGCTGGCAGTGTGCTCCGTTATCCCTCCTTATGCTAGCTTTTGTGACTGGACTTATCACATCACTTCCTTAAGCCTTCCTTGGCATTTGCCTGGTAGTGAGAGCATACACAGGCATGTAACGCATTCTTGTTGAAGGAGAAAATCCCCACTTAGTCCTTCGGTACAGGAAGGGTGAATAATAGTTATGAAATATTCCAAAAGACACGTGCTAGTGGGGACTTTGTCCAGGATACAGCCAGACGGTGTGCATTAGAGTGGGAGTCTGTGGCAGGTGACACAGGTGACAAAGGCAAAGGGACCTGGAGGCCTGCATTGGATGAGTCCTATAACCAGACTAAATGCCATACAATGATGCTGGTAAATGTGGTGGGGAAGGGGAAGGAGAGGAAGCAGAGGTTCTGGGAAGCTGTAATAAATGCAGAGGGGATCCCTGCAGGTCTGCAGTAATTGGCAGTGAGGAAGGGGAGAAGACAGTGATCAGAGGACCACTTTGTCTCTAGCAGGAAGTTTGAGAAATGGCAAAGGCTGTTTCCTGGCTCCTCAAGGGAGCTGGAATGCAGAGAAAATTGGATGGATGAGTGGGCAGAAAGCCTGTGAATGTAGAGAAGGGTGCTGCTGGTGGGTCCAAAGGCATTCACAGACACCTGGAGGACGGCAGCTTCAGGGTCAGAGAGCAGTCTGGGAATGAGTGGGCAAGAGTCTGGGTGTGCTGAGGAGAAACATGCCAATCACCCAGACACAAAGCCATCCAGGAGAGCATTTCTGCAGGGTCCCTTCCTGTCCCATTCCCGAAGCAAGATGCTTTTATAGGTGTTGAAGCACAGCACACAGAAAGACAGCATGTTTTTGGAAACATACTGATGTTTAAAATGCTCCGAGACAAAAGGGAATGCTCTGCCACAGAGGTGGGGTGGGGTGGGGGGATGGGGTGTGGGGGTGGGGGGGTTACTAGGATCATTGGTGGTGGAGAATGGGCACTGGTGGAGGGACGGGTACTCGATCATTGTATAACTGAAACCCAAGCATGAAAGTTTGTAAGTCTACAACTGTACCTCATGGTGTTTCACTAGTAAAAATTAAAAAAAGTGCTCTGAGAATTGTCCCAATACTTTACAATCATCACTTCCTCTTACTACTGAGTATCTTTTCCTCCTTTTCACTGCAGCAGAAAACCTGGTATCATCTGTTGGTTCTGTTCTAGAAGAATGGATCAAAAAAGCCTACAACGTTTTATAGAGTCTTCAGATTTTGGGAGGAGGGGGTGGGGACCAACTTTAAACAGTAGGTTTCAATGAAGTTGTTTATAACAGTAAAACAGTAAGCTTTGAAATACTTATGAGAAAGGATTCTTGGCTAAGAAATTTCTGTCTCTCTTACAAAAATTAAAGTTGGAAGTTAAAACATTCATATTCTCTCCAAATAGACTCAAAGTACAATGCTTGACAATGGCTCACACATTTTCCCCCAGTTGACCCTAGTGGTTGGTCCTTTAGGGAAAAGCAGCTAGGCAAACTAATGTAATTAACTCTATTTTACCAGTAAGTCAAACTTCTGTACAATAAAGTAAAAGTATAATTCTTCCTTATCTACACTTTAAGAATGAAGAAATGAAGGTAATGATAAATATTAGATTTAAATTTCTAATATCTGTAGGGAAAATAAGTATCCAAAAATATATTGCATGTGTGATCCAGAAAAACATGTTGAGCAAATTTTTTGCAGTATAAATATGGCAGCATTAGTCTCAAGATATGTTAACATATGGCCATTTATTTCTCTATCATTTTGCTATAGTAGCTGAAGAGTTAAAAGTCCCTTCAGGTTGCACTGTCTACAAACTCCTCAGACAGATGCACATACGTGTAAGCAAACCTGCCCCATTCTTACAATAACACAGTCTTGCTCTGGAGGTGAGGTGTCATTTTCAATTTTTCCTTGAAGTGCATTTTAAATAATTTTAGCTGGCTAAGAACTTGCTGGTGAGACAGGTGGGACACTTATTTGTGCTCTGGTGGCTTCTGTTGTCTTTATGAAACTGTGCTTGTGAGCAAATTCTGAGACCAGGATAACCCAGAGCTGGACTCTCCAAGGAGTTTCTGTCCAAACTCTTGCATGACATCCATGCCATGGTCCCAACCGAGACGCTGAAGGGTTTTGGATCTCAGATTAATCCCATCAGCAACATCACTGACTTTAGGAAAGGGGCTATTTACTAACAAAATACCTCTCTAAAATGAAGCTAAGATGTGCTTCATGTTTATGTTCTTTCATATGTTTACTAATATTTATATTTGATTCACACTGTCACTGTCCTCCCGTTGTTCATCGATTTGCTCGAGCGGGCCCAGTAACGTCTCCATTTTGAGACTTGTTGTTACTGTGTTTGGCATATTGAATACATCAGGGGTAGCTCGCCAGGCTTTACTGTGAGGGCAAGATACTCTCAGTAGCATGCCGGGCTCTCCGAGAGGGGTAGAGGAATCGAACCCGGCTCGGCTCGGCTGGCTGTGTGCAAGGCAAATGCCCTATCGATGTGCTATTGCTCCAGCCTATTGCTCATTTAAATATATATTTTTTTACCTTTTCGGGTTTGGGGTCATACCTAACTGTGCTCAGAAGCTTCTCCAGGTTTGGTGTTGTGGGTTGTTCCTGGCAGTGCTCAGAAGACTATGTGGTATCGGGAGTTGAACACGGGCCTCCTGCATGTAGTGCATGAAACTCCAGCCCACTGAGCTCTTTCCAGCCCTGATGCATATTTGGCTACTTTCAAATGAATGACTCAAGGTAAAGTAGGTTTCCAATACCATGTGTCAAATGTCTCTTTTCTTGAGACTTCCTATTCATCTATCCCCCTACTCATATATGCTTTGAGCCAATATAAAGCATCAGGGGATTCAGGGACAGTTTATTCCCAACACGTGTCCTGCTACTATTCAACCTCCTCCAAGCTAAGTACTTCCATTTCCTGCACCATCTTACAAGGAAAATTTACTGTTGAGAGAAAAAAGCCACACCACACTACCAAATGCCTTCAAAACAGACCTTAATCATTCCAAAGTTTGGAATCATGTTCAAACACAACACTCAAGTCACGAAAATGCTTTTTGTTGTCAAGAAACACAAAGAGGCCAGGAGAGAGAGAGAGAGAGAGAGAGAGAGAGAGAGAGAGAGAGAGAGAGAGAGAGAGGTGGGCAGGCTGAGAAAAGACTTTACCTGCAAAGGGACATACAAAGGTTCATCCCTGGTACTGCATGATCCAGTAGGCAACCCCCGGAAGTGACCCCTGAGCACCACATGGAGGCAAAATAGCCCCCAGCACTGCCAGGTATGATAAATATTTATGCAGAAGATGAACCATTAAGTTAAGTTTCTTAAAGCTCCTTAAATTATAAGTCTAAAAGGATGATTTTAAAAATCTAATTCTTGTACTATTAAGACAATTTAGAACTTAAGTACAAAATGGAAGAAAAGTATTCCTCAATGCAGATTATAATAAATTATACAACACTTAGATTGGACATCTGGCATTGTGTTCATGTATATTTTTCATCTTCTAAATGGCAAAGTGAATGATAATTTATTTCACTACGATCATTCAAATAAACTTCAGATGTCAATAGAACTTACTGAAACACTCAGTTTTTCCACTTTCTAATCTCCTACATATGTAGCATTCCTTATTATAATTCTATGTGTGTGTACGTAAGTATACACCCAATAGATGCTGTAGAAGAAATATGATCCAAAACAAAGTTACATGCCAACAGCAACCACACTGTTCTTAATATGCATCACATTCCTTTTGCAAAAAAAAGTTAGCAAAGAGCCCTGGTTGACAGAGTTAAGTTCCTTGGACAGAAAAGGTGTTTGTATTTTTTTGATTGACCACAGTTAATTAAGTAACCAATATGAGCTGCAAAGTCTCTTAAAATTTTAAAATATGGAAAATAGGACAGCCTGTACAAGTCAAATTTGGGTAATATTTTCTTTCATTTTTAATATTTTCTAAGTAGCCATAGCATTTTTTTCTATAGAGAGTGAGAGATCAGGTCTTTAGAAACGAACTGGGATTTGGCAAGGTGGACGGGGACTAAAGATGAAGGGGGATAAATTAGAATCTGGTATGCTATGCACTACTTACCTTCAAAAGTCAAATAAAACTTTCCTCTGTCAAACCAAACGAGGGAAGGCTGTTCATTCTCTGTATGGCCAGGAGTTGAAGCGGGATGGGGAAGGTTAAGGAGAGGGAGAGAGAAGGACACAGTATGAGTTACAGAGCCAACCATCAATCTCACTACAGGGAGGGTCAAGGCACTGCATGCCAGAAGCGTGCAGGAAAAAGGGAAAGTGGGCAGCCTATGGGTTACTCAGCTTTATTCTAGTTTTCTAGTTCAGGATACAGGAAGCAAAAGCAAAGCTATGGAGGCCTAAGGGATGGGCATGTGTGGGAGGCAGCTGGGCTCTCGGGCATTTGGGTGCATGGAGTGGGAGACTTCCTGGCCATGCAGGGCACCAGCATATTTTAACTGCACTAGTTTGGGCAAATGGACATTGAGCCACGGCTGTACCCATTTCATCTTCAATGTCATCCCCGTCTAGGTTTTCCATAAGATACACTTGAGTGATGGGTTGTAGAAAACATTTTAGCTTAGGTTTGAATGACAACAGCACTGCATATCAATTTCATATCAGGAAAAGAAGTTCTATCTGCCCCCACCCCCAGAATCATCTTAGGCATTCAGACACAAAGTAACTTTTACCTATGTACCAAGGAAAAAGAAGATGATTTATGGAGTTCTGTTGTTATTATTATTATTTATTTATTTAAAAAGCAGTCCCTGAACAGGTAATTTGGAGCAGTTAAATTATTCCTTCCTTGGAAATTCACAAAGCAAGAGCTTCTCACCTTTGGTGAACCTTTTCATTGAAAAACTGTCATGCAATCTGCAGCTTTTTCATATGTTCACTTAAAAAATATTCAGTGGCACGAGTTCCATGGTGAACAGGAAATAGACAGGGTGCATCTGAGAGGCACTGGACGCTCATGAGGTGAGTAGCATGTCCATGGAATTGAGAGCATTCAAATGCAAAATGGCTTGGATTTTTGAAGTCTAGAGAGCTACAGAGGTCACTCAGCTAGCACCATACCTGCAGGCGTTTCACAGCGCCTTTCAAACGAGGGCAGTTTGTCATAAAAAACATCATCTTCTGACACTACGAACCAAAGAAATATAAAGGAATGGAAAACAAAAAAACACAAAGACAAAATCCCAAATGACATCGAACCGTACCGTTTACTGATTGAAACACAGGAAAGATTTGAATGAGTAAAAGAAACGAAACCAAAGACACAGGACCAATGACCAAGCTACAGAACAGTGATGTGCTTATTTCAGGATGGTTATAGGAGAAGAAATGAACACTTTATAGATGCCAGGTTTTAGCATCTGTGAACTTGGCTGAAGTCAGTTCCAAGTCCCCACTGAATTGAGAGTTGTTAAAGCACTTGCATTAATAATTGACTTGTGTAAGTGTATTTCATTCAGACACAACTACAGTGCTCTCAAGTGGCCAACACAACATCCTGACAGATCATTGACAGCTAACAGGGTCACCAGGCATGCAATATCGCCACTTGGGGAAAGATGAAGCTTTTTAAAGAAACAAGAAAATATGGGCTGGAGCTACAGTACAGCAGATAGGGCGTTTGCAATGCAGATGGTCAACCAAGGTTCGATCTCTGGTACCTCATGTAGTCCTCTGAACCTACTAGGAATGATCTCTGAGCTCAGAGTCAGAAGTAAGCTTTAAGCACTGCTGGGTTTACTCCCTCCTCACACCCTGCTCTCCAAGTAACCAAGAATACAGTATGAATCATATTCTTGAAGGAACTGTAGCACTTCCACTTCAATCCAAATTCAGTTTCTCTTTGATAAATGCAAACTGCTAATTTTGAACAGCAATAATGCAACAATTGCAATAATGCAATCCCATCTTTGGTTATGATACTCAGCTATGGCCAAGAGGCTTTGTATATTGGCTACAACAGTTCCCAGGGGGCCCCAAGGATTTCAGATATTAACAAATGGTCTCTCTCCTAAAAAATCACAGGTTATGGGGTTTTAATCCATGTGACTAAAAAGGAAGTTTTCAGTGTCACAGGTGCTAAGTTACAACTTTAATAGAAAATTGAAAAAAATTTGTACAGAAACCAGGAAGGGAGAATCCTACCTATAGTATAGAGAAGATAAGCAATAAATAAAATTATTCCATAAAATATTTTTTGAAGGGGCTGGGGATATAATTCAAGGGGCTGGGTAAGGCAAGTTCCTCTAGGAGAGGAACAGGGCAAATAGAATTTACATTTCATCTATCTCCAGAAAGTAGAAAGTAAAACCAGTTTTATTAACAGTTACTGAATTTAACAGTGTCTTTTCTTATTTACCTCTGATATTATCATTTGTTCTCTATTCAAAGCTAAAAAAAGGAGTGATTTATAACACTGAATTGCATGACTATGGACTTTTTTTTTTCTTTTTTTGGTGGTGGTAGACATTCAAGGTTTAGAAAAGAACATCCTAAATAAATCAGATAATTAAAGAAAAGAATCATTGGCTAGCTCTGTGCTTGGCTTAAACAAAGGCAACATTCAAATTAAATCTACAAGAAGAGACTTTAAAAACTAATTATGGAAATTGCTTCAAATGGGGATGCTGGTACTGGAGATGGACAGAAATATAACTGTAGAACAAAATAAAAGAATGTGGCAAAATATCAAATGTCATTTTTAAATATTGGTTTAACTGCAGGTTTTTATTTTATTTGAGGGCCATACCATGGTAGTGCTCAGGGTTATTCCTGGCTTAATGTTTGGGATTGCTCCCAGTAGTCCTCAGAGAACCATGTGGTGCTAGGGATTAAACCCAGGGCTACCACATGCCAACTATGCACTCCAATCCTTTGACTCTGGCCGCTACTATAGGTCTGTTTTGTTTGTTTTAAAGAAAACATCTGCAGTTCAGAATTTTCACTCGCCTTAGAGATAAAGCCTTGAAGGAACTATTTTAAGACTGAAGCACTATGAATGCTGTACTTGTATCCAGTACTGAATACAAATCATTTTTCCTCCAAGTTCTACACCAAAGGAAGCATCAGAATTCACTTTCTGCTCCCTTTGGTGCCCGTAAATGATTTTTTTTTCATTCATGGAAGATTCTTGGAATATTAAAGATGCAATAAAGAATGCATGATTAACAATGAAGGAATAGAATTAGTGATGAATTTAACAATGAGACTGTCTTTTTGTTGGTCTTTTCACTTTGGCGGAGGTGTCCCTGTGGAATATTTTGCAGACTTCTTTTTCTTTCTGTTTGTTTTTGGGCCACAGCTGATAGGGCTCAGAGTCTACTCCTAGCTCTGCTCTCAGGAATTACTTCTTGTGGGCTCAGGGGACCCTGTGGGATACTGGGGACCAAATCCAGGTTGGATGCATGCAAGGCAAACACCCTACCCACTGTACTATTGCTCTGGGTCCTATTTTGCAAACATTTAAGAAAACAGTCATCTGCAGAACTAAGAAACAAACATGAGAGTGATTTTTCTCCATCTCTCCAAGTCTTGGGAGTTTGTTTCTTAGAAAAATGTCAGACATTTTTCTTGGTCTCATAATGTTAATAGGATTTTACCTCAAAAAATCAAAAAGGAAAGGTCCTGGGAGCTTTTCTGCATGCAAAGGGAATGTACTGATTCTAAGATGGGCAAGTCTTCATATTTCAATCTCCTAGAAGTCAAAATGGGTCTTAATGTCCATGTAATAACCAAGTATTATGTTAGAATTTCATTTGCACCTAGCCCTCTTGTTCCTTCCTTCCTATAGTCATAGTGTATGTTCTATTCAAGAACTTTTTGTCATTTTTTCTTTTTTTAATTCAGTGAAGTACTATTGCCAAAAAAAAGTATTGCACTATTTGAGCATGGCAAGACAGAAAGTCCGCTCTTCCAGTGTGACATTGGATTTACCACCTCCTAACCACAGCTCTCATGAAAACTTTCAGACTCAGAACCTTGCAGGGTCAGTTCTATGCATTGTTGGGCATGAAGATGAGACTTGCCTGTTAATTCCTACCACACTCACCCCAAGTTTGGCTCAAAAGTTAAAGGAAATGTCAAAACTAAAACATTGCAGTGACGGGGAGGAAAATGTTGCACTATCAACTTCAGGGCACATGCTGTGGGAACCTTCCATCACCCACAGCCCCCTGGCGTGCATCCAGTTGACTTTCCAAGTTCATCATGAATAGGGAACCCCTGAACAGCCAAAGCATAGCCTTTCTCCAAAAGGGAGGAGCAGCCTTATGAGATGGGATGGGCAATTGGCCATTCAAGCATGGAGTTCGGAGAGAAACAGCTGACAGGAACTGCAGCAGCAGGCAACAGAACAGGAGAGGGAGGGATATGGGGAAGATGAAAATCCAACAAAAATAACTGGCCCAACCAGACTGACGCAGAAGGCTCCACAGAAAAGAAGCAATGGAACTGTCCTCGGTGGAGAATGGTACTTATTAGGTAAAGGTAAAGGCCCTCCCGTTGATCGTCGATTTGCTCGAGCGGGCCCAGTAACGTCTCCATTGGAGACTTGGTTGTTACTGTGTCTGGCATATCGAATACTCTCGGTAGCTTGCCGGGCTCTCCGAGAGGGGCAGAGGAATCGAACTCGGGTTGGCCATGTTGGCCGCTTGTAAGGCGAACGCCCTACCCGCTGTGCTATCGCTCCTACCGAGTACCGAGGGCCCGCTCGGTACTTATTATTTTACTTTAATTTCAACCCCTCTGTGATTCATCCAGGAAGAATGTACATGAGCTGTGTTGAGGATATAAGTCATGGGTGAGGATTTGAGATTTCTGGAAGGATAGGAAACGGTATATAGTACGTGGAGCCAGTTCTAATTCCTGGGGTGTGCAATTTTCTCTATGAATCTCAACGAGTTGAAAGAATAAAGGTCATCTCAGGTCACCTGAGGTCTGCTTTCTGAGTGACTGAGTAAGTCTATTCTTACTTTTCTCTGGGACCAACTAGGAACATCGCATGGAGAAAGTAAAACAAATGATTTTGAGGAAACATTACAGAACAGGAGTGGGGACAAGGTGGTGGCAATGAAGAGAAAGTGGGGAGGATCTAGAATAAACTAAAACAAGAAAAACAATAGACAAAGAGAAATGAACAGACAGGCATCCAAAACAGAAAGTCTCTGATTTCCCTCGAGTGGTGTAGAAATGAAAGAAAAGACTTAGCTTTATCAGGACTGTTAAAAATATCTGTTCACGAATTTAATGCTATTAGGTTTTCGCCAATTTGGGGGGTTGCTCTGACTAAAATATATAGAAGACATTATCTAGATGAAGATTTTTTTTGTCAGGGGCCCAAAGAGGCACACTTTGATTTATTTTCCTGGGAAAACATAGCGTTCTCCCTAAGAGTTTCAAGCTCCAATCAAATGATTTTTCACATGGACAATCCTGAAGTCTGCTTCTGGCAAATGATAGGGGAGATTTCTTTTGCTCTGGGCAGTGCAAGTGAGGGTCAGCTGGTCTGTAACATCAGAGTCTTGGAGGAGAGTTCAGACAACAGAGGAAGATGATGGTAATGGAAGGTGCGTGGGGAAAAATGGAACAGAAAGGGCAGGTGGGAGAGGCCATGCAGACAGGAGGCAGCAGGAGTCTATGGAAGATGGGCAGAGAGAGAGATAGAGAGAGAAAGAGAGAGAGAGAGAGAGAGAGAGAGAGAGAGAGAGAGAGAGAGAGAGAGAGAGAGAGAGAGAGAGAGAGAGAACAGTCTGGAGAAGAGGGAAGCCAGTGCCAGTCCAGGCCAAAAAAAAAAAAAGGCATTTGAGCCTGGGCAAACCACCCCCAAAGGGCAGCCATCCATTCTCAACTCTTCACTTTAATCACACCATAAAGAAAAAGGCGCCAAGGCATTTACTGAAAATGCCAGCAACGACTTATTTCATGGGGAAATGGCTACACATCACTGAAAAAGCACTAGAAAAAAATGTCAGAGAATCCACTCCAGTCCCGCAATGCCCATGTTTGGATCATCCGTCCACATGAGGACAACCAAAAGGATGAAGAAATGAAAGTCCCAAGAAAATGAGGTTTCTAAATATTGTGATTTCCGATGCCAGACAGGAGAGGTGTTTAAGCAATTATCCCCCCTTCCAAGGAGACACTTTTGGTGATCAGGAATAATCCCATCATTACAGGACCTTATACGATGATCTCTTCTCGACTTTTAGGGCTAGCTCTGTGGGAATAACAGAAGAGAATTCCTGCAAAACACAGGTGTTAATATTCTTTGGCGTGTTCATTTGCGCAAAGCACTTGGCCTCCTTTGCTGAAAAGGTGTTTGTTAAAGAAGAGTCAGAGGATAGTAGCAAAACACACAGCAACATAATATCAACCAGAAACATAAGACCAGGGGGGGTTTCAGATCATACACAATAGCCAGTCAAAACCACACATGGAGTGAAAGAAGGAGACAATTTTTTTTTACCAACTGTGGGAGTAGTGGCTGCACTCAAGGAATTGGTGGACGATATTGAAGAGGTGCTTTCAGCCCGGGCTAGGGGTGCTATTGGAGGTGGACTGGAAGAATGAATGGGAGGACTGAAAGGTCTGGGCTGCAGGGAGAAGAAAAAAGATGCAAAGTTAGATTCCCACAGAACGAGATCAGGGCACTTTCACTTTCACATGTCCCAGCCCCAGAGGCGACAGCTTAGGTTCTTAACAAAAAGCAACAGTACAGAGGAGATCACGAAAGAATGTTGGTTACATCTATATGGGAGATCACACTGTATTCCTCTCAAGAGATACATGAGGCTGAGAGGAGCTGTGATGTGTGACTTGGTTAGGGATGTCTCAGAAGGAGGATTCTAGGCTGAAGGGATGAGGCATGGTGATCGCTGACACACACTTAAAGACAATTAGATACAAGCCTCATTGCTGTATTTACAGCTGGCTTGACCCACCATTATGAGAATAACAGATTTGTGACTCTTGTGGGCAGATGTCAAAGGAATTTACTTCTTCCTGAAGTCTCTTCATGGTTCACTCAGGACATTTTCCAGTCCCTTAAATATCTCAGCGTTAAAATTTTACATGAGAAATTGCCAAAACAAATTCCTCATCAGCTACCACTATCTTCCTAGTCATATACTGCCACACCAGTTCAGAGTCCTGGATCCTAGGGACAGAAACCAGGACTAACCCTCTTCTAGAGTCTTCCAAAAATTAGATAAATATGGTGAAAGCAAATTCCTCCTTCTCTAAAGGACTTAGCACTTAGCACTTACTGTTCTCATCTGAAGCAAACTTACAGTCGTAGAACTGTAGGTCCCAGTGTCCATCACTTCCATTTAGTTTTGTTATTTTTGAACCACACCTGGAAGTGCTCAGGGGTTATTCCTTGAGGTGCTCAGTGGACCATTAGCAGTATCAGGGACTGAACTGGGGCCAGCAAGCCAAACGCAAGGCGAGTATCAAACCCCCCACATTATGTCTTGAGCCATTCTCATTTTAGATCTTGGTTGGGAACAGGGCAGAGAGCTCAAGGGGGGGAGGGTGGTGGAAATGTACAACAGATTACAGGGTCAGTGCCAAGACCCCATTTTGGAACTGTGGATGCAAACAAGGACCTTTACGATTGAACTTGAGCTAGCTTGTGTTGACTAGCTTTGGTTTCTGTCTATCATCCACACACTGAATTTCTGGGAAAGTGAGGAATGAAGGGGACGTACCACGTCTCCGACACCAGGCTTTCCTGGGGGTAGCTTGGGCCGGGAAGGAGGCCGGGGAGGAGGAGGAGGCGGGGTGGTGCTGCTGGAAGGGACCGAAGGGGTCGCTGGTCGAGCAGGGGATGATGCACCTGAAAAACAAGTGGTATTACCAAAGGTTGCCAACCCAGGTGGCCACAACGCTGCCCTCCCAACTTCCATTCCCAGTCCCAAGGCACGAAGCCAGTCCATCCCAGCACATGGCTTTCAGCTCAGCGGTTACTAGACTCCACATTCTAGCACATGGTGGTTTATACATACATACACACATCCATATATCCATATATGTCCATATATGCATATATACAGATAAATCACTGAAGTCTGATTGATGGCAGAAGCTGAGGCTGATTGCTTTGGGCTGTCATGTGATACCGAAAGGTAAACCCTTGGAAGCAACTCTGGGAGTCAAACTCTGCAAACTCTGGGCTGGGTGGAGCATCACTTTCATTTTGACCACAGACACATCAACAGAAGCTTTGTACCTATTCAGAGGCTACTTGTATCCAAGATAAAAGTGGAGGTTGCAACCTCAAGGCTGTTGATGGTTTTTCCTCATCATACATACATATTTAAAACATAAATAAGAGCAGCTTCCTTTTTATTGTGCTCCAAGAAATGGGCATGGTCTTCATACACAGAAGAAAATATGATGTAAGCAAAGGGTAAAATACAAGAAAGGAGATGAATTGTCAAGCTTGTTCTATGGGTTTAGGATCTTTATAGGAGAAAGATGGTGAATTTTGAGGATTTTATTTTTTGATCAAGAATTTGTTAGGGGATGATTTTTTCAAAAAGCCTTTTGGATTTACTTTTCTGGTAGTCAATGACAAGCTCATGAAACACAAAAGACATGGAAAAGCTGGCATGCAAACTCGTCAGCACACCAGGAAACTCTCTAGATTCACAGACAACCCATCTGCAGTCATATGTTTGGGTAGAAACCTTTAAGTCAAACCAACATTCCAAAAGTTCTTGTTCAGAAATGATCCAACAACCCTGAAGTTTTATTTTTTCCATTTTAGTTAGAAGCGCAGGTATGAAATTTCAAGAAAATTTGAACAGATGCTATTCTAGGAGAAAAATCCCTATTCCTGTTCCAACCCCCTTCCAATGTGCCACTGTGGAGAGTTCAAGATTGCGTCTCTATCTCCAGATTTTTAGATCAAGAAGGAATTTTAAGCTGAGCAGCAAAATCCATCATTTTACAATCTGTTCCTGTCAATCTACTCTTGGGCAGGGGCCCTTATTTTTCTCATTTAAATAATCCTATGTCTTGAGTTTCTCCTTTCTGTTTTATTTAATTCCGTTAGTTAATAACAATCAGATTATCATCAGCATTCCATGCCTACCTTCACTCTTTCTCTCTCAACAACTATCTTAAAACAGCAACAACTCTAGTCGTACTTTGTATTTAATTGAGGATTTATCTATTTGAGGCATTTTTCAATACTCTTATTTTACCCTCCTCTCCCCCCCCTCACTAATATCTAGAGGTTGGGACTATTAGTATTTCACTGAAAACTAGAGCTCAGAGACATTCAATAACTTCCCCAATGTCACACAGATCAAATCTAGTGTTCAACTCCAAGGCCCAGTTTTTTAAATGCATCTTTAGGTAGATTTTTTTTCTTTTTGGGTCACACCCGGCGATGCACAGGGGTTACTTCTGGCTCTGCACTCAGAAAGTATTCCTGGCGGTGCTCAGGGGACCATATGGGATGCTGGGATTTTAACCCGGGTTGGCCGCATGAAAGGCAAACGCCCTACCCGCTGTGCTATCACTCCAGCCCCTAGGTAGACATCTTTAGGGAAAGTTTGGAGTCCCAAACTTTATATAAATCCCATTTTAATTTTGTGTGGTAGATTTGCACATATCTCTCTCATTATATCTCTCTGTAAAAGTAAAGTAAAGTAAAGGCCCTCCCGTTGATCGTCGATTTGCTCGAGTGGGCCCAGTAACGTCTCCATTGGAGACTTTGTTGTTACTGTGTCTGGCATATCGAATACTCTCGGTAGCTTGCCGGGCTCTCCGAGAGGGGCGGAGGAATCGAACTCGGGTCGGCCATGTTGGCCGCTTGTAAGGCGAACGCCCTACCTGCTGTGCTATCGCTCCATATTTCTTTAATTTTTCTTGAGTAAAACAAAGGGATGTTTGGATAGGTTCCACTACAAAGTTTTCTTTCAAGTTAGTAGAGGATGTCTTCAGAAAACCAAAGACAGCATAAAGATGGGAAATCATCTTTAAAGAGACAAGTATTTGATTAAAGTTTCTTTTGCAGGGGTGGGGGTGGGGGAGGTTGGGGGTGGTCCCAGGACCTCTTTAGCTCTGGGTAAACCATTCTCCAGAAATGGAGCAAAATGTCTAACCATAAGTTTAATGTCAAGAAGGGTCTTTTGAACCAATCTTAGGCAAAGCTCAGCTGCTTTTCCTCCATATTTCAGAAGAAAAGTTAAACACTCTCAGTAGTGCATAGTAAAGCGTGTGGATTCCTGAAATACTGGCTGAAGAGTCAGCTGATCTGTTTTTCAGACCCTATATCCCTCTTATCAGTGGTGGCATCTTAACTTTTGTAAACATAAACTTCCTGTTTTAAAGACATGAGACATGCTTCATTTCAGCATAGTTGAAAACAATCATCTGTGAAAATGCTAGGCAAGTGTGTACTCAATTGCAAACGTTAAGCCAATGGACTGAGACAGATGAAGAGGATGGGCAAGTGGGTGCCTTTTGTGATTTAGTAAAAGCAAAAAAACAATAACCGATTAACTACTTTCCTCTCTCCTTAGGAGCAACACACCTAACTCACTTTTTTCCTTACTCCATTGATTGAATTGATTTCCTGTGCAGTTAGAAAGACACAGAGATGGTGTTTAAGAAACAAAGCCTTACTTGATAGACTCTGAGGATAAGCGGGAAATAATTAGCGCCTGGAGTGTTTCTCCCCTGAGCCAGGGCTGCATTGCTGGTATGAGATGGAACACATGTGTAGAGGTTATTGCTTGTACACTAAATTGCTTGTATACTCTGACTCTACTCTCTAACTTTCCATTATTCTTTCATTTTTTCACCTCAAGCAAGGTTTGTATCTCAGAGCAATGCTGAACAATAATTGAACAATTTCTCTTTTAATGTCTAATATGTGTATAACGATTTCAACTATTTCAAAGTGGTTGGCAACCATGGACATGCTTTCATTCCATTTGCTGCTCTCAACTGGAAGATGTGTCATAGATTTCCTTGGTAGCCTCTGAAAAGTACAAAGATAGAGCTTCTGCTTGTGTGTGTGTGTGTGTGTGTGTGTGTCTGTGTGTGTGTGTGTGTGTGCGAGCGCACGCGCGTGCGCAGGGGAGCAACAGGGGCTGCTGGGAAGGAGAGGTAAATGGAATCCAATAAAACTAATCAGATCTACACTCAGATGATTATTAGCTTTGTGACCATTACCAAGTCACAAATTTAAACTTGTTTCATTTTCAATAAAATGAAGCTAATATAATAGAATGTTTTTTGGTAGAATTGAAGAAAACATACTTTGAACTATATAAATAAATTAATAAAAGGTAAAGGTAAAGGCCCTCCCGTTGATCATCGATTTGCTCGAGCGGGCCCAGTAACGTCTCCATTGGAGACTTTGTTGTTACTGTGTCTGGCATATCGAATACTCTCGGTAGCTTGCCGGGCTCTCCGAGAGGGGCGGAGGAATCGAACTCGGGTCGGCCATGTTGGCTGCGTGCAAGGCAAACGCCCTACCCGCTGTGCTGTCGCTCCAGCCCAAAGGTAAAGGCCCTCCCGTTGATCGTCGATTTGCTCGAGCGGGCCCAGTAACGTCTCCATTGGAGACTTTGTTGTTACTGTGTCTGGCATATCGAATACTCTCGGTAGCTTGCCGGGCTCTCCGAGAGGGGCGGAGGAATCGAACTTGGGTCGGCCATGTTGGCCGCGTGTAAGGCGAACGCCCTACCCGCTGTGCTATCACTCCAGCCCAAATAAATTAATATTAAACCTTAATATAATTAATATTAAACTATGTTTCCTCTAACACAATCATGCTACTTCTTCAGAGAAAGTATCAAATAGTAGAATTATATAGGGTCATACATGGTGATGAATCTTTTCCTTCCTTCCTTCCTTCCTTCCTTCCTTCCTTCCTTCCTTCCTCTTTGTTTCTTTGTTTCTCTCTCTCTCTCTCTCTCTCCCTTCATATTACAAGCTCTAAACTGGCACTGTCCAATAGTTTTCTGGAGTTTTTTCTAGAACATATTCTTGAACAAGTGCCTGACAAGACAGTCACTTGCAACTCTTTAGCATTTGACTTATAAAGAAGTGAGCAATAGCACAGTGGGTAGGGCGTTTGCCTTGGATGCGGCTGACCTGGTCGACATGAGTTTGATTCCTCTGCCCCTCTTGGAGAGCCCGGCAAGCTACCGAGATGTATTCGATATGCCAAACACAGTAACAACAAGTTTCACAATGGAGACGTTACTGGGCCCGCTCGAGCAAATCGATGAACAATGGGAGGACAGGGTACCCAGTGTGCCAAGATTAAAATAGCTACACAATAGTGACTTCCTTATTAAACATAGTTGCTCTAAAAAGACTGGTAAGTTAGGAACTATATTTATTTAATTCAACACTAGATCTAACTCAGACTCATTTGTTTGTGAATGTGTGTGTACACATGTGTGTATGTGTATATCTGTAGCTGTGTTTAACGTCTTCAAGCATTGCTTTAGTTTCTCAAAGTTAGAAAACGTTGCACTGAATATTCTATTTTACTAACATCTTTCTTTTTTTTTTTAACTGACCTCCAAGCTGGCTGTAGGCAGCAAAACAAAACAAAAATCAAAACCAAACCTCTCCTTTCTATCTCCTGGCACCCAGAATTCACAAGGGAGAAGAAAGAACAGCGCCAAGAGCCAAGAGTCAGTTTAGACCTGCACACTCTAGCCAAACTAGAAAGTCTGCCATAATGAAATGAAAGGTTTTTGAGTTGATTCTTAGTTTCCAACTGCCTGCAACAGCAGGTTTTGATTCATCAGTTGTGTCTAAACTGGTCACTTTGCTATGAATGAAAATTTGAAAGTGGGCATCATGATATCCAAAGAAACAGTTGAGAAATATAGAAAATTTGGCAGCCTTAGACTTAAAGCACAGGCAGTGAGGGGCACTGCCAGTCTTGATAGTGTCAAGGCATTTTGATCCATCCTTTACAACATTTCTCCTAGTCTGTGCATATTCTACCAATAATACATTAGGCAACAAATAAACTGGGACTTAAGGCAATAACGGGGCAAAGTTTTATTTATTTATAAGCTTTGTTGGCCCAGTTGAACCTTTCACCTAGAAATTCAATCCTTTAATCCTAGTAAAGTCTAGTTTCTTTGAGCACATTTTCTAAGAATTAATATCCTCACAGTGATTGAATTAAAAATTATTATTATTCTTTATAGGGCTGGAGCGATAGCACAGCCGTAGGGCGTTCGCCTTACAAGCGGCCAACATGGCTGACCCGAGTTCGATTCCTCCGCCCCTCTCAGAGAGCCTGGCAAGCTACTGAGAGTATTCGATATGCCAAACACAGTAACAACAAAGTCTCCAATGGAGACGTTACTGGGCCCGCTCGAGCAAAATTATTCTTTATGGTAACATTCAAAATTAAGTTCAACTAGGATCGGATGGAAGCTAAACATTTAAAGATCAATACAATTCTGGATAGAAAGTCAAAGCTCCTTTGTCACTCATTAGACCAATAATCAAGGCAATGAAATTAAGATCCATGAAGATGGTTACAGAAGGAACACCGATGAGTCCCTGCCTTGCCCTCTTTGTCTTCCCAAGTCTCAAAAAAGCACTTTCCATGGAGGCTGAGTTACAGAACATCCCAAACTAACTTGGGATGTTAGCTTCCAACAACCCAAATTAGGAAAGCCTCATGGCCCACCGCTGGGAGGCAGGGGACACATCTTGAAAAATCTTTTCTAAAAATTCAGAGCTTGGCTCAGGAAGGAAATTTCTCACACAAAACAAAGAAATGCATCTCTGACCACAGAAATTCAGAATGGGAGTTTCTTTGGGTGTGAGGGATAGAAAACATTATTTAGGGACTCTTTATTATCTTTAGAGAAAAGTACAAAGTCTTAATCCTCCCAAGAATTAAAAAAAGAAAAAGAAAAAAACAAGTGGAGGAGGATGCTCTGATAATCTAAAATTACAGAAAAGAGCACTGTCAAGGTTTTGAGGACCATTTCATTGATGCCACTGTACAGAACGGGTATAGGGCCATTAAATTAGTTTGGGAAGTTCTGTGATTCAACCTTATTAGCAGACTTGAAGAATAGATTGGTTAAGAACTCAAAATTGGGACATTGGTAGAGGGAAGCCGACTCTCAGCTGGTACGTGTGGTTCTGAGGCTTCATTCACATGAAACCCTATCATTAGCACTATTTTAAAGCACAGTGCTTCAATAAAAATTGCAAGAAGAACACAGGTAGAGGACTAGAGAACGAATCCCAAGCTGTCTAAACTTGAGTAAATTATTTGATCTCTCTGAACCTCATTTCCCCACTTATAAAATCCCGATTTCCACCAAGGGGTTTGGTAAAGATGGAACAGCATACACAACAGACTCAGATGCTTTTCAGGACACTATAGCCTGTGTTCCTCTTGGCCAAATACTAGCTCCAGATGGACGAGGCCACGTAGAACCTGCCACTGGGGCACAGAATATCCAGGACAATGACAGGGTATGGTAAAATCTTTTTCTTTCTTTTTTTTTCTCCATGGTAAAATAAAACAAAAAAAATTTTATTTATTTTTTTTTATCAGCAGTATGTTTCTCAAACATTCAAGTACAAATGTTTCTCAAACATTTGAGCCTCCCATTTTAAATGGAGGAGTAGAGAAGGACAAGGGCCACATCTGCCAATATCAATTCTGAGGCAGGAGTGACAGGACAGCAGGTTGGGTGCTTGCCTTGCACATGGCTGACCTGGGTTCAATCCCCGTTATCCCATATGGTCTCCTTAGCCTGCAAGGAGTAATCCCTGAGCACAGAGCCAGGAATAAACCCAGAGCACTCTAGGTTGTCCCTCCCATCAGCCTTAAACAAACAGAAACCAATTATTTCTTTTAAAAATTTTATTAATTCGGGGCTATACCCAGAAGTGCTCAGGGGCTACTCATGGCTCTGTGTGTGGGAATGACTCCTGGCGGTGTTTGGGACCGTTTGGGATGCTAGGACTAAAAACCTAGGTAGGCTGCATGTAAGGCAAGCCCCTTATCCTCTATTCTATCCAGCCTGCTACCTTTCCCCTGGACTACAGCTAGCTCACAGGTCTCTCCACCACAAGCCTGAGGGCACTTATAGCAAAGCACAGAGGTATTTGCAAACAAAGAAAACACTGAAAAATGTTTGACTGATGACTCTCTTAGGAGAGACAACATTGAGGACTCTTTGGAGGAAAAAAAAATGAGACTGGTGGGGAGCCAAGGGTTTAATCCTAGGAGTGGCCTAAAAAACAGACTGGAAAAAAAAAAGTCGTGAGGGGGGAGAAAAATGCTTTTTCCTTAAGTTTCTTCCTGCCTCTAAATAAGTTAATGGGAAGGGGATTTGCACAGTCAACTCCTGGCTCTGAACAAGGCAAGCACCTCACCTCCTGACTTCTCTAGCCCAGTTCTAAGTCACTTCAATCTGGTTACCACTTCCAAAGCAAATGAAAACAAAAAGGCCCTGGCACCCTAGGAAGGAGACTCCATGGAGGCCCTGGGCACAGAAGGGAAGGGTCTGGAGGAATTTAGAGCTAGCCTGGCCTCAGAGACATGAGACTGGAAGGAGATTCATTAGATCATTCTTGATCTCGCTGTGTCTCCACTAATTGTTCCCATCTTTCAAAACGAGAGAACTCAAGAGGAAGTTTCACATAAGGAAATCGAGGCATAACAGATTCACTGTAGAGTCCCTCAAATGTGTGTTTCTGATCTACATTGCCACCTCTGTGCTCCACTTAGAGGTGACTTCACAGGCAGGTTAAAATATAGCTGGTTAAGTGAGGGGGGGGCAGTGCGGCCCCCCGCTTTCCATTGTTCCCTAAAATTTCCTCTTTAAATCAACAGATTTCCTTTGCTGATATAATTAGAGTGAAGAACAGGGATCTCTAGCCACAAATAAATAAATAAATGAAAAGAAAGAGAAACAAAGCCAGTTGCCCTACAAAAGTTAGGAAGCTTGGTCTAGAAAAGGGGGCCAAACTTTCAATGAGGAATAGTTTTGCAATCCATTGTATAACTTGGGAGCTGTAATACCGGCCGGATCGCTAGTAACACTACTGAGTAATGAACATTTACTGAGTGTTCTCCCCTCCTCCCCCAAAGATAACGGGAGGGGAGGGGGAGAGAAGAGAGAAAAAGAGAGAGAGAGAGGAATATGTGGTTCCCAAATTCGGTGACCTGGGAATCCTTTATTATATTATTATATCAAATATATATATAATATATATTATTATATCTTATTAATATTATATATTATATATTATTATATCAAATCATCCTTGTCCTACACTTAAAATTTCCAACTATTCTCCCTCCACTCAAGTTAACAACAAACCTCCACAAACGAAACCACCCACGGGGCCCTCATCGGGTGGGAAAAAATCCCACCCCAGCCAGGCAACCTCCTCTCTAGAATTTCTAGCCCCTTCTGGAGTTTTTCCAAACAATGACTCCCCGCTGTTCTCGAAGGCAGGCTTGGCGGGCAGGCAGGGCCGGGACAGCGCAGGGCAGCACACAGCCACAGACGGGCACCAGGACGGCGAGCATTTGCGGGACGAGCAGCACGCGTGGGACCATGCCACGGAGCAGCGGAGGGGCGCGGGGTTGTCACGGCCCGGCCAGAGCCGCGGGCGGCGGTGGCGCTGCAGCCGGCCGCCGCGGGCAGCAGGGGGCGCTGTGGGGCCGGCCCCCCGCGCACGCACCGCGCACGCGCGCGCGCGCACGCACACCTACCGCTGGCGGGCCCCGCGCCGCCGCCGCCGCCCGAGCCGGGTCCTGGCGACGCCACCACTGTCCGGTAGGTGGGCGGGGGCGGGGGCGGCGGGGTGGCTCTGGCCGCCGGCCCCGGCTCTTTGGGCGACGAGACCGTTTCTAAGTACTCGTCCCGCACGCAGCTCGGCTCGGCCCCGGGCTTCTGCGCCTCTTCGAGGTTCAGCGGCGAGGGGATCCGGCGCGGCGGCGGCCCAGCCGGTGGTGCTGCTGGGGTGCTCGGGGTGCTCGGGGTGCCCGGGGTGCCCGGGGTCCCCGGGGTGCCCGGAGCGGCCGGGGAGGCGGCCGGGCTGTCCGAGGAGGCGGCGGCGGCGGCGGCAGCGGCAGCAGCAGTAGCAGCAGCGGCTGGTGGTGGAGAAGCCGCCTGGTCCCGGGGCGTCACGTCTGGAGGCACGTGTTCCGGGGACGTGTCAGAAAAGTGCACCCACTTTTCTTCGGCGTTAACGGCTACAGACTTGGGGGACAGCACGGGGCCAAAAATGCTGTCCAGGTCATTGATGGATGGAGGCTTTTCAATGGGGGCCTCTGTGGCTGCCTGGTCATTTCCTGTGGTTAAAGTAGCGGATTGGACACTTTAATCGGTGTGGTTATCGGGATACCGGGATGGGGTTGGGGGGTGGGGGGCAGAGGGAGGTGGGGCAGGGGGAGGTGATGCTGAGTCAAAAGGTGCTCTTGGGACTGACACCCAAGGACAGTAGACACAGGACCAGGAAGATTGCTCCAGAGTTGGAAGCCCGCCTTATGGGGGCGGGGCGAGGGAGGTGGGGCAGGGGGAGGTGATGCGGGTCAAAAGATGCTCTTGGGACTGACACCCAAGGACAGTAGACACAGGACCAGGAAGATTGCTCCAGAGTTGGAATCCTGCCTTATGGGGTGGGGGGCAAGGGAGGTGGGGCAGGGAGAGGTGATGCGGGTCAAAGGATGCTCTTGGGACTGACACCCAAGGACAGTAGACACAGGACCAGGAAGATTGCTCCAGAGTTGGAAGCCCGCCTTATGGGGGGGGGTTGTTGAGGGAGGTGGGGTGAAGACAGCTGGGAAGATCACTAAGAAAAATGATGAGGATGGGAGATGTGTGCTGAAAGTAGATAAAGGACCAAATATGATAACCTCTCAGTATCTGTATTGCAAACCATAATGCTCACAAGTAAAGAGAGAGTATGGGGGGAAATTGCCATGGAGGCAGGGGGAGGGTAAGAAAGGAGGGGGGTATACTGAGGTGATTGGTGTGGGGAATCTGCACTGGTGGAGGAATGGGTGTTTGATCATTGTATGACTGAAACTCAAACATGAAAGCTTGTAACTCTTATCACTGTGATTCAATAAATTAAAAAAAATGCTCTTGTGTGTACAGTGTGGTCCCAAAAGCATGGACTGGGCTACTGGGGGTGGGGTGGTGGTGCTGAGGGGAGGGTAGCCTGTGTAACGTGAGATCCCATGGCTCCTCTACAGGTTGACCTTTCCCGGGAGCTACTTGAAACCACAGTCTGAACCGCCTTCTAAAGCACTGCGTGTGCGCCTGCTCTCAGGGATCTTATAACAAGTGTGAGGTTTGAGGAAGAGACTAGTTTGGTTGGCTAGAGAAGAACAGGTTCTGGACCTAGCTCCAAAGGGGAATGGACAGCTGCAAATCACTCCCTCCTGCTGGATGAATATTTGATAACGAGTATTTAGCATGTTCATCACAAATGTTTGGCGTGGCTCATTCGTTATTCTATTCATTGTAAGGGAAATAATCCCATCTGGCAATCAGCTGTTCATTCTTCACCTTAAATGCACCAGAAACATGGGACAAGGATTCCTCAGAGGGATGAGTGCACCTGTAGATTCACAAACATGCCCCAGTACACCCACACAACACACCAAGACAGACTGGGTTTCCTCTGTGACAGCTCTACTTATCTAATGGGACAAAGACATTTATTTCTTCTAATCTCCACACTGTTGGCCTAACTGGATGGAGTATCTCTCTGAATTCATGAAACAGAGAATCATTGTTTTGCTTAAACATTGGCATTTGGTTATTTTTAAAAATTATTTTATCAGTTGTCAAAGTTTAAAACCCACATTTACAGCCTGGTAGGAAATACTTGGTAACATCTGCCATGTGAGGAAACACACCTTTTAAAATAAAGATTATTTCAATAGAAATAGTCGCTTAAAGCATTATCAGGGAGAATCAGAAGCCACTTCATTAAATAATCCTTTGGCTAGAAGAATTCATTGAGTACTTTTGTATTTCAAGTCTTAAAGGCGTTAACCTTCAAGGCTCCAGGATATAGATAAATGGCCAGTTTGCATAGATGACAATATTTGTAAATTTATTTATATGAAACATTCATAGAAATAGAATGGGCCAAAATGATTTGCTCTTGAAAACATCTCTACATTTTTCAACATCAATGGCTCTCTGTTGGGTTTGAATCCCAATACATTGCACAGGTGATTCTGTGTTACATTTGCTCTTGCTGATAAAGACCCCAACTCCAGAGCTACTGAACCCACCAGCCTGCACAAATGGCGAAGGATAAGAATTCCAAAGGTGATAACCATATTCCCAGGGTTCAGACCTATAGAATAACTGTTATTCCTGCTGACTTCTGCTAGTCCACTCAGACTAGACAGATAATAAATTGGGGTAATATGTTGTATGGACTTTAATAGAAATCAGAGATACGCCTTAGGGTTTTACTGTCTAAAAGCATGCATCCATTCCTCAATACATTTCCTCATCTTTCCACACCTCTCGCCATGGGGTAATGAGTACTATGCCTTGTGGGAAACTCCACCCCCAGCTAACTCATGGGGTGCACATCCTAGGAGTTCCTTATATGTCTTAGAGACGAGGGAGTTTTATTGCTAGGAAAAAAATGGACTGCTTGCTTGGGGAAAAGAATTACAAGTTGTGTCTTGAGCCTTTTAATTGGTTCATCATCCAAATGAGATCCTGTAAGGGAGATGTCAAACAATGACTTCATTTTTAAGATTTTTGTCCTTCCCTTTTCCACGAGAACATGGCCCTCGTGCCACAAAAATTAGAAGACAGAGGTGTGGAGAAAGTGCAGTTTTCTGTGAAACCTGGGAGTGATCCTTGAACATGTCAGCATATTGCTGTAAAGATGGTAAAAATAACTCCGAGCAGTGAATTGTCGTGGAAGGAAAGTGAATGCCAACATTTTCCTGTTTTCCTTCACCTCCAGCTCCTCACCTAAATAGTGTGAGGTCTGGAACCTCTGTTCTCACTCTCACATCGTCCCAGACCAGAGAGCGGGTACTTACCTGGTGCAACTGGTAAGGGGGAGCCTGTCCGGGGTGGGGTGGCTGGTACATTTTTGGGAGGCAGTGGTGGAGGTGCTGAAAGAGAGGAGGAGCAAGCATTAGAGAACACTGTCTTGCCGAGGTTCCCAAGTGTAGGGAGCTAAACAGGCTTTGAAAAGTGGTATTGGTGGAAATGAGATAGCCATTTCATACTCTAAATTTTTTTTAATTTATTTTTAACGTTGGCAGTGTGGGCACCCAACCCAGAGCCTCATGCAGCTACACCTTCAGCCCTAGATGGTTTGTGTATATATATATATATATATATATATATATATATATATATTTAATATTATTTTTAAAATTGAATCACATATTGTATATATTTATATTTAATATTATTTTTAAAATTGAATTACAGTGACAACCACAGTTACAAAGTTGTTCATGATTGAGTTTAGGTCATATATTCCAAGACCCATCCTTTCACCAGTGTACATTTCCCACCACCAGTGTTTCCTGCCCCTGCTCCCAACCTCCTTTTGGGCATTATAGTTTACAATACAGATACGAAAAGGTATATGTCTTTACCTACTTTAACACTCAGTTCCTGTCCAAAATGATAATTTCCAATTATTAATGTCATACTGGTCCTTTCTCTATCCTAACTCCTTCACCCCACACACACTCGTGGCAAGCTTCAAACTATTGACCAGTCCTCCTGTCTCCTGTTTTCCCTGTATTTTTTTTCTTTTTCTTTTGGCTTTTCTAGGCACACCCGGTGATGCAAGGGGTTACTTTCCTGGCTCTGTTTTCAGGAATTATCCTGGCAGTGCTCAGGGGACCATATGGGATGCTGGCAATTGAACCCACATTGGCCTCATGCAAGGCTGTGCTATCACTTCAGCCTCTGTTTTCCCTTGATCACTTGACATCCCATTACTCATTGATTTGCTCAAGCGAGCACCAGTAATGTCTCCATTTGTCCCTGTCACGTGCTAGCGTAGCCCAATGGCATTTGCTCATTCTAGGAACACAAAGAGCCTCAAACCGATTGTTCACGGTCTTGACGAAGAAGTCTGACCATCTCAAAGGTGGCTGGCCACGTGATCTTTTGACATCCTGTGGAATCCAGTTGGTAATGGCTCTAGTCCAGCGGTCATCTCCAAATCGCATTACGTGTCCAGTCCATCTGATTTTCGATGCCTTGGCAAATGAGACAGCGTCCCTTATTCTTGACCATCAACAAAGGTCAGAACTCAGGATTCCTTCTCTCACTTGAGTGAAGCGTGATACTCCAAGCATAGCTCTTTCAATTCCTCTTTGGGAGACCTGAATAGCGTTCTCATCCTGTTTTCATAGGGCCCAAATCTTGAGGCATATGTTAATGCAGGAAGAACAGTGGAATCGAAGAAATGTGCCCAGAGTCGGAGGTTCGTTGTCCTCTTAGCTATTTCTTTGACGCTCTTGAAAGCGTTCCAAGCCGCTCTCTTCTGAGCAACTCAGGTGCCAGGTCATTAGTCATGTTGCCTTCTCGACCTACGTACACATAACTGTTGCATTCGGAGATGTTTGTTTCGTTGAGACCAAATGGAACATCAGGAACAAAACTGTTTCTTATAAACATTGTCTTCATGAGATTCAGCTGTAGTCTGACCTTTCCACACTCACGGTTGAAGTCGGCCAGCATTTGTGCCGTTTGGCTAATGTTTGGTGTTATTGAAACAATGTCATCAGCAAAGCAGAGGTGGTGTAGTTGCTGACCATCTATCTTCACTCCCATTCCTTCCCATTTCAGTCATCACATGACGTCCTCTAGGGTGGCACTGAAGAGTTTTGGGGAAATGGTATTAATCTGCTGAACCCCTCTCTTGACATCAACGGTCACTTCTTTGTAGAATGGTGAGATCCTGGTAGTGAATCCACAATACAGCTCACGGAGGATCCTGATGTATTGGGCTTGAATGCCCTGATTGGCTAGGGCTTCAATGACCGCTTCCGTCTCAACAGAATCAAAGGCCTTCTTTAAATCAATGAACGTTAAACAGAGCGGCATCTTGAACTCCCGAGAAACCTCAATAACCTTGGCTATCATGTGGATACGGAGCATCATGCTGAATCCTTTGTGGAAACCAGCTTGCTCGCAAGGTTGTCCTTCATCTAGTGTTCTGCCAATCCTATTCAGGATGACTCGAGTGAACAGCTTGTAGATGACAGACAACAGGCAGATCGGGCGATAGTTGCCAATGTTGTGGATATCTCGCTTCTTGTACAGTAGTACAGTCCTGCTGGTTTTCCATTGGGACGGAACCTTGCATTCAGACAAGTAGCGTGTGAAGAGCCAAGCCAGTGTACTGATGAGTACTGACAGCAGATTCTTCAGGTGTTCAGGTCTGACCTTGTCTGGGCCTGGTGCTGTTCATTTCTTCTAAATGGCATGTCGGATTTCGGAAGGGAGAAAGTTGGGAACGACATATTCATCCTGCGGAATATGGTATGTGGGCAGGTGGACATGGCTATCGAGAAGATCCGAGTAGAAGTCATGGATAATCTCCATTGCCCTTCTGGAAGATGTGATAGATCCATCAGGACGTCGGAGGGCAGTCATCTTGGTCTTGTAGTTGGTCAAGGACAGGCGGGCATGGTGAATGCTTTTCCCGGCTTCTACTGCATCTGCCAGCACTGCTGCTCTTCTCTCTTTGAGGTCTTCCTTTATCGCTTCTTTGCATTGTTTTGCACGGACATTCGCTTGTGGTTGCCTGAGGCTTGTGCCAAGCCATTTTGGCGAATAAGCTCAAGTTTTCAAAGACAGGCTTTTATTTGTGACTATCTCTCTCTTGGTGTTCCTTGCATAATCATGGAGGTGCTGAACCAGTCGATCATATTCCTTGTCAATGTTGTCAACGACAGCATCTTCCCATGTTGCCAGAATAGTGCCCAAGAGATCCCAGTTGGTGGTTGTACTGGGTGTTCTCTTCTTAAACTTTGCAGCCCTTTCTCCCCCGCTCTGTGAAGTAGAATTTTGCATGAAGGAGACAGTGGTCTGATCCCATTTGGTGTTTTGGGACAGTAGCGACATTCGTCAGGCAAAACTGTTGATTGAATATGATGTGGTAAATTTCATTGTGGAACCATCCACAGGGAGACTCCCAAGTCCAACGTTTATATTAGGCCTTCTGGAACTGTGAGTTACCATGAATGGTCTTGGTCAACATGATGAAGTCAGACAGTCTCTTACCCTGTTCTTTACATTCTAGGCCATGGGTCCTGGTGTGGAGTTCATCGGCTGATCTCCTCAGTCCTATCTTGGCATTAAAATCACCAACAATGATCTTGTAGAAGGTGTGGTCTTCTTTATAAAACTTCTCCAGCTCCATGTAGAACTTCTTTATTTCTCCATCATAATTGAATGTTGGTGTGTAGACAATGAAGATAGAAACTGCCAGCAGTGAGCCACATCTATTCAAGAGTAATCGTCTGATTCAGGTTGTTAGGCATTAGAATGACTCAATACTTATGGCCAAGTTTGTGTTGACAAGGACACCAACACCACCGATGCCTCTTTTGTCACATGTTCCGAGGAACAGTTCTTCTCCAGTGTCAAAAACGGTGTGATGTAATTGATGCCTTCTTGTCTCAGTCAGACCAATGATGTCATACATGATCTTTTGCGCTTGTACCATCAGGTCCTTGATGGATGCATCTGATGCCAGTGTACGTGCATTGAAACTACAGACAGTTATTTTTGTCTTTCTTCGTTTTGGCAGCCTAGTTTGGCCTTGAGATTTTATCAGCCTTTCCTTCCTCATCCTTCTCAACACTGCCATATTGGTGTCTCTTTCAGAGTCAGGGGAATGAGACTTATTGGGGGGAGGAGGTGTGGAGTTTGCTCCCAAGCAGTGCTTAGGAAGCCTGCAGTGGGTGATTGGGGTGGGGGTTGGGTGGGGACCACCTGGGAATTCTCAGGCAGCCCAACTGGGGTTCAATGTCAGGACCCGAAAATGCAGGCCTGCTTAGTTCCTGAGGGGCTCGGGACAACCAAAGCTACCTGGGTGGTGCTTGGGGGCATCTAGGGCTACACCTGCTGATACTGAGAGGTCCATGTGGTGCTGGGGATCCGGCTGCGTCAGCTGCATGCATGGCAAGTGCCTGAACTCCCGAACCATCTCTCCACCCCCTAACTGCATGTCTTCTTATCCCTGGCCGTATTTGATGGCTCGAAACCTTCACATTAAGCTCTAAAGCCAGCCCCGAGTGCAGCTGTGAACCTGCAGTGGTCCATTCTTGCATGACCTAAAAGAGTGAACCCAGAGGCATGAACTGGAATGCCCAGCCCCTCTGTTCTACCTGCGCACATTAGAAAGGCATTCTCCTCCCTTTCCTTCCCAACCCAGCTTCACTGACTTTTGGAGAACATTCCATGCTTTCTCAAAGCAGGCACCATGGAGAGCCACCCTTCCCTCCTCCACCCCATCAATCTAGTACTAGGACTATGTGGTTACCAGTATTAGTTCTGAAGTTCTGAAAACTACCCACAGATGGATCTTATCTTTCAAAGAAGTTTAAGAGTTCAGCCAGGGCCTCTGTTCCTGATTAAAGTGCTCAGCCAAAACTGAGATCATACTCGCCAATTTTCACAAAAACAAATAAAAAACCCTAAAAGCCTTGTAACCTTGAAATACTAAACTTATTCTGCAATCATAAAAGGAACAGCATGCCACAGTCACAACCCATGTCAACTGCACAACAGCCCCTGGTGGGCTCAGTGTAACCTCAGCACAGAAACTGGAAAACTGGAAACATCCGGGAATGGGACCCCAGAGCGCAACATCCACTGCAGAAACAGTTTTCTAGTCACTCTCTTGGTTTGGGGAAAGTTGTTTCTAGGACCCATTTGGATCAGTGAGATCTGGGAAGAAAGCTCTGCAAGGAGGTCCCCAGCCAGACACCCAGCACTGCCCTGATATCATCTGATCTCAGACGCTAAGGAGGGTTGAGCCTGATCAGTGCTTGGATAGGAGAAAGTGTTTCAAGGAAGCGCCTGCTTGTTCCTGGCTTTGTTTCCAGAACCACGGAGAACGTTTTCACAGGCTGCTGAGCTAACTCAGGAAATTCCGGAGTGTCCAAGCAGCCATTGATGATGCCACCTTTCCTTTTTGGTGTTAGAAAGGAAACTATCCTTGGAAAGATTGGATTCCATGGCTTTAGAGCAATATTCTCAACACATAACCATCTTGGGCCTTAGATAATGAATCCCTTAAGTGAAGTCTTACAATTAATTGGGGGGCACAAAATAATTTCTGTTTTGAAAGGAGGAAGAAGAGGAGGAGGAGAAAGATAAGAAAAGGAGGCAGAGAAAGAGAAGAGGAGGAAAAGAAGGAGAAAAAAGAAGAGGAGAAAGAGGAGGAGAAAGAAGAGAAAGAGAAGAGGAGGAGGAGAAGGAGAAAGATAAGGAGAAGAGGAGAAAAGGAAGAGGAGGAGAAAGGAGAAGAGAATAAAGGAGGAGGAAGAGGAGAAAGAAGGAGGAAGAAGAGAAGAAAGAGAAGAGGAAGAGGAGGAGAAAGAAGAAGAGGAGAAGAGGAGGAGAAAGAGGAGAAGAGGAGGAGAAAGGAGAAGAGGGGGAGAAAGACAAGAAGAGGAGGAGGAGGAGAAGGAGAAGAGGAGGAAGAGGAGAAGGAGAAGAGGAGGAGGAAGAGAAGGAGAAGAAGAAGGAGGTTAATCTCCAGCCTCACTCTTTCTCCTCCATGTCTTTTCTCTGGGCCGCACAGCCCCTTTGGCTGGGCAGGACAAACAGATCTGACTGTTCACTGAGTGATGTGAGCCAGTGCAGGCCCAGGGCACAGAAGGGTCTTTGCATTCTTGGTTCTTAGTCCCACATATACATTTTGAATGAATGAATGAGTGTACAATGTCAGAAGGGGCTATGATTCCCAGCTCTATAATTTTACTTTTAGCATTTCTGCCTTGCCAGTCTGCCCCGGGCACCTTTACCTTTACAGTCTGTGAGAAGAACATCTTAATAGCATACAGCTCAAATGTTGCTTATGTAGGCTCGCTCAGGGTTGCCTCATTTCACTATGCAGGCAGGTAGTAAAATGAGTCACAGATTTTTCCAGACAGGGTAGACACAGAACTTACTTCCGGTGGGAAAAGACCTTGTTAGCTTTGGTGAATCCATGCTTGGGTTAACTGGTTGGCCCGAACCCCATATCTCAGGCTGATCTAAAGGAACTGGAAACACACACAGAAAAAAACATTTTCTAGAGTGAATTCAAAGTAGAAGTGGCCCCATTTAGATTTTAGACTTAAAATTTCAAGTTGGGCTTCATAAAAACATCTCCCTCCTGCTTCAGTACAAGCAGATTCAGTCAGGACTATGGTGCTTTTCATTGTTTTCAAGCAGAGACATATAGCTAAAGATTTTCAGAATCCTTCCTTCCTTCCTTCCTTCCTTCCTTCCTTCCTTCCTTCCTTCCTTCCCAATTTCCCTCCCTCCTTCCCAACTTCCCTCCCTCCCCGTCTCTTCCCTCCTTCCTCCCTCCTTTCCAGGGCCTCACACAAGCAAGGTGTGTGCTCTAGTCTAATGCACATCCTTGCGTTTTCTTCTTGATTGCCCATTTAATCACATTCTGTGTGTCAGTACATGGACTGGCTTCATTTTTCACATCCATTTGAAATACAAGTATTAATTCCATAAACACTTGCATTACATTGATTTATTTCAAGTTTGCTATGAAATATACTCTGAAAATGAACATGTCTGGGGTCTGCATGTACAGTGATTTCTTTCTGTCTTGAAGCTCTTGAAAGACCTTACATGAATAAATACTCTACAGTACTCTCAAGAGAAATGAAATGAAATAATAATCACGTGCTTAGACATTGAAAGTAAAGCAGGGTAACATGGAACTCATATTTCTTCAATTTATTTTCTCTATTCCTTTACATATTTTTAGTATTACTATGCTAACCATTTAAACAACTAACTCTTCTCAGCACCAGTCATGTGCCAATATCTATATCATTCTTCTTATAATTAAGTATGTTATAAGACAGGCTGGGAAGTTAGGCAGATGAAGACTTGAATACAGTCTCTCTAATTACTGGAGAACTATGCACTATGAATAACTGCACGAGTTATTTCACCCCTTCATTGTAGAAACATTAAGAGCAAGCTTAGAGAGTTACTTAGCCAATTCAAGGAGATAATGAATCTAAAAATATATCAAACTTTTCACAAGACTAGAGACAAATATTATAGAATACCATCTTGGCACAACCCTCAGATGCTTGAAATTGGTACCACGTTAGGAGAGGAAACAAAATTGCAACATCTAAATAATGTGCCCGAGACCTTATATGATGGAGCAGGGGAGCTAAGATCTGGCCCAAATATGCATACCCAACTTCAAAATACATCCCTCCACAGAATTTTTATTTATTATTTATTGTGTCACTCGATTAGAGTAGTGTCAGGGGTCAAAACTTCAGGCCTTGAATATGCAAGAACTGTGCATTAGTCCCTTGATCTTTCTCTCTGCACCCCTTGCTTTTGTTTATTTATTATTGATTATTGCTATGCCATGCAATGATCCAAGGATGTCACACATGCAAGTCTAGCGCCCTCTCATCAACCTCTCCATCTCTGAAAGTATTGAAAGAATCCAGAATGACAAGGATTGAGAGAAAATGAGGATACATGTGAGGGAAATGTGGATTTTGGAAGAGCTAGTGTGTTTTGTGCAAATGCTGACACTTTATAGACGTTGGAAGTGATATGTGTCTTTTCCATATTTTGTTCTTGCAAGAATTGGCAGAGACTTCCATCCCCTCTTCCCATGATGATTTGAAGGTGCTGAAGCAGGGACATGCCCTGGGGATGAAAACATGATGGCCACACTCTGGAGGTGAGCTGAGCCACCCTACCAATTTGATACGTTTGCTTTGGGACTGTTAACAAGAAGCAAATAAAATTCTATCTTATTTATTAACTCGCTGCATTTTGGAGTCTCTCTGTTACTGTAGCTTAGCCTATTTATTATGCTTTCAAAGTTCTTGTCCTTACCACTTTTATTGTCTTCACTAACAAGTCCTGGAAGAACATTTCTTCCATGTATATCACAGGGCCTTTAATGAAATTGTTTTCATGGAAATATCCTCTGTTGCCAAACTCAAGCATTTATTTGGTGACATGTGAATCAGACATAAAAATCATTTCAGGAGTAGTTTCAGTCCCTTTCCTGAAGGACATGTTTTAGGTCAGCAAGTTCTTTATTTACAATCATCCAGAAAAACAGTTACTTTTTTGGTGGGGGGATTACACTTGGCTGTACTTAGGCATTACTCCTGGATCTGACCTCAGGGATCTCGTCTGGCAGGGGTTGGAAGACTAGAAGTGATGCTGGGGATCAAACCTGGGTCAGGCATGTGCAAGGCAAATGCTTGCCCACTCGACCCTCTCTCTGCCTCCCCACATGATTAATTTTCAGAGTGTGAGGGAACCCAAGGAAACTGGTGGAGAGACATTGACACTAGTAGTCAGATTGGTACTGAAACACAGTATGCCTAAAACTCAACTGTGAGTAACTTTGTAATTCAACGTTTCTCCATAAAAAGAAATAGAAATAGGGGCTGGAGCAATAGCACAGCGGGTCGGGCGTTTGCCTTGCACGCGGCCAACCCAGGTTCAATTCCCAGCATCCCATATGGTCCCCTGAGCACCACTAGGGCTAATTCCTGAGCACAGAGCCAGGAGTAATCCCTGTGCATTGCCGGGTGTGACCCAAAAAGCAAAAAAAAAAAAAAAATAAATAAATAAAATAAAATAAAAAATGTAAAAACTCACTGATTTCAAAACTTCCAGGAATAAAGGTTTGAAAGACAGACGCAGTGATAAGATCCCTAATGCTATTTCTTCCATATCATTTTATGTCTAACTTGTTATGTGTTCAAGGTCATTCCTTGGTGTTGAGACTAGAAACTGTTGGTGGCATGAGCTATCCAGTTATCACCTCTCTTGATGAGGTGGACAAGAGACCACGTGGTCATAGAGGCTCTGTCACAAGGTCAGTTACAAACACAGGGCATGGGAGGGCTTCACCCAGTAACCAGGGCTATTGACTTGGTGACCACATATTCACTTGCAGTCATTCATCTAGAACCATAGAAATTCTTAAAGATCTTTTCTGAGGAGGGAACAAGTTAGCAACGAGATTGTTCTGGAAGTAAAATTTCAACTCCTAAAATACTCAGGGGCTACATATTCAACTCCTTTGCTGATAGCATCTCTGGATCATTACTTTTTGTGACATGCCTCAACTAGCCTGCATTTACTCTAAGAACTTTATACTGGAAGGAAATGGCACACAAACCCTAAGAGATAAACCCATTTTTCTTACCTTCTGACTTCTGTTCATCAAAAGCTGATTCTAATGGTGGGCCAAAGAGAGGAGCAAGGGCCATAGGGTCATCTGGAGGTTTTTTGCTAAATGACACACATCAAAACAAGACATACAGTAAATATAAATGCTAGACATATCAGGTAATAAGGCTGTGTGTGTGTGTGTACTTGAATATATCTGTATGCATACATATAAGCTCTTAGGCTAGAAAATGTTAAATAAGGATACCAACTGTGTAATGGATATAAGGAACTGGTAGGATGGAAGATCCCAATAGGGGACCAAAAAGAGAGGCATTTCCAAGTATATGATTTGCTCTACATAGAATAGATAATACTAGAGATAATAGCTAATTGCCATAACTTTAATTTCAAGATTTTAGAAGCCATTATCATCTGTCTTTGCCACATCTCGGGACTGTAGTTAGTGTAGTTTATAATTACTGAAAGGCAGAAATTGGAAGGCTAGGTGGCAAACCACTCAAAAAGTTGTGTTTGAAAAAAAGGAAGTCCACCAGCTTCTAATTTCTCTCCTCAGAAGTAGTTATAACCTCCTAAAATCTTAATAGGGTACATTTCAGAAGTAGAGGAAAAATATTAAGAAATCATGGGGAAAGGAGGCCAATACATTCTTACCCTTCCCCCTAATTATTATCTTAACTTATTTTTTGAAAGGCTGTACAACGCTCTCCATTTATCCCCTAAGATCTCTCCTCATTGGTCTTAATCAGTTCTATGTGGATGGAGTAGGCAAGAAAGCAAGAGGAAAAGAGAGACATTGGAGAAGAAGGGAGAATAAAAAATTTGAATTTTTAAATAGAAGTTGCAAATTTAAAAAAATTATGCTCATTAATATAATACTTATCTCTCCAAATAACTGGTAAGTATTAATACAATACTTATCTCCCCAAATAAAAATATAAGTATTTGATAATACAATACTTATCTCCCCAAATATAGTTTGACTGGTGGGCTGTATGACCAAATCATAGTCAAACAGCTCCTTTCAACATTCAGATCATCCCTTCAAGCCCCGAAGACCTCTTATACAGTTCTAGTAGCCTACCCATGAGCAAGGAGATGCAACATTCTGATAAGACGGGATTTGGGATGACAGCAGGTCTTTCTAATGATGCTTTCTTAAGAAGCGTAGAGCAGAACTGATACCATATTTGAACCACACAATGGGATTTCACAGGTGGGCTGGCCCTTTGTTAAGAGCAGTGGAACACAACACAATGGAATACTATGCAGCGATTAGAAAAGATGAAGCCATGAAATTTGTTTATAAGTGGATGGACATGAAGAGTATCAGGTGAAATGAAATTCAAAAGAGAGGGACAGATATAGAATGACTGCACTCATTTGTGGAATATAAAATAACATAATATGAGACTAACACACAAGGGCAGTAGAGATAAGGGCCAGGAAGATTGCTCTATGGTTGGAAACCAGCGTCATGTGCTGGGGGAAAAGGCAGTTGGGGTGGAGAAGGGACCACTAAGTCAATGATGGTTGGAGGGCTCGCTCAGAATGGGAAATGTGTGCTGAAAGTAGATTAAGGACCAACATGATGGCCTCTTAGTATCTGTATTGCAAACCATAATGCCCCAAAGTAGAGAAAGAGTAAGAAGGAAGGTGCCTACCACAAAGACAGGGGGTGGCGTGGGGTGGGGGAGGCAGGAGGGACACTGGGGACATTGGTGGTGGAAAATGCGCACCTGTGAAGCGATGGGTGCTTGATCATTGTATGGTAAAGGTAAAGGCCCTCCCGTTGATCGTCGATTTGCTCGAGCAGGCCCAGTAACATCTCCATTGGAGACTTTGCTGTTACTGTGTCTGGCATATCGAATACTCTCCGTAGCTTGCCGGGCTCTCCAAGAGGGGCGGAGGAATCGAACTCGGGCCGGCCATGTTGGCCACGTGTAAGGCGAATGCCCTACCCGCTGTGCTATTGCTCCAGCCCAATTTTGTAACTCTAGATCACAGTAATTCAAGTAAATGATAAAAAAAAAGAGTTGTGGAGAGGCACCAGAGTGGCAATATACCTGGTTTGATCCCTGGCATTCCATATGGTTTCCAGAGCACTGCTTGTACTGATTTCTGAGTGCAGAGCCACGAGTAACCCCTGAGTACTACCGAATGTGGGATGTGATGTAGTGCTCCCACAGCCGCCCCCCCCCCCTTCCTAAACTCTCCTCTTCCCCACTGCCAAAAAAAAAAAGTAGTGGAGAGTTTTGCTTAAAGGAGATTTACTAAATTGTTCACAAGACATGTTTGCACATAGTGAATATGAATGACATCTTTTCTGCTCACCTTGTAAGTTCTGGAGTTGGCGTGGAACGCCTGGGTCGTGCCACTTCTTCACCTGATGCACAGGACAAAGGAACTTTTTAGGCATGTTTTTACCATTCCCAGATTATCTGTCTTTTACATGAGTTTTGGAAACACTTAATAGATTTAGCCTCCATCAATAAGTAATTCAGCACGGAAAGCTTGCAAAATAAATCCTCTTTCCTGGCAGTACACAGACCATGTATTAGGCACGTAGTAGCATTTTCTCTGGCATTTGTAAAAACTAATTAACCAAGGATCTACCACAGTAAGTGATCAAATAGAAGACTTGTGTACTGAGGAACTTAGTGACAAAGATAACCATTCTTCAACTATCTACTGTTTTGATAATTTCTGCTTCTCAATTAACATAAAAGAATACTAAGTCAGGCCATATGTCCACAGTATATGAATTCAGGATTCTCTGCCTGTTTGTTTCTTGAAATGCCAAGGAAATGTTATACCTTTAACCAGGAACCATGAATTTAGAACTCCCTAAAATATATTGTGTGCAGCAGAAACAAATCATGCCCCATGTGTATTACAACCTCTATTATATCGCTTTGGTTAATGAAAATGTTCATATCAAATAACACCAAAAAGGACAAACTGCATCTATTTTCAGTTCCTTCTTTCCCTCCACTCTCCTTGCCCTCATCAACACTTGATTAAATTCATTTTTAAAGTTAAAATTATAAAACAAGAGTTGAACAATACAGGAAGAAAGAAGTAATGTTTCCCCAAAACCATTCATTTTCAGAATTTAAACATGAACCATTCAGAACCCATAGAACTCTTTTTTAAGAAATCATTACAAGATTTCCTTGCTGTCAAAGTAAAATATTCATAAGACTAATAAACTAAACCCGGGAGTGTATATAATTCAAATGTACAAATGCTCCATGAACCAAGGAACTACTCCTTCTTTTAAATTATACTCTACTTCTGGTAGCTAAGATATACTTACTGGATAAGTTCCTTTTAATTGCACCCTAGAATTAGAAATAGACACTATAAGGTTTAAGACCACATATATGTTATGTACAATATGTATATTTTTGTCATTGCAATTAAAATGAACTCAAAGAAACGTAGGTTGGGAACATAGAATTTTTCTCAGAATTACATGGAGTAGGAAATTGTAGATGTGCACTTGAATGTGTGTGCACGAGCAAACACACACACACACACCCACACACATTCTGTTTTTCATTTTACTCAAAGAGAAGAAAAATAGGGTAAACTATATGTCTTCAGAACAAGAAAAACCCCTTACCTGAGTAGATTTGGTAAATTATAGCCAAAGTTGAATAGCTTATTTTTTAAAAACTTTGAAGTTTTGCAGACAAAAAAACAACAAGCACAAGCATAACGTACATTTGATGCCTGAGAATTATAAAATATATCAGGAGTACACTTTACTCTTATCTGATAGGGCCCATTCATTGTTAGTATAATAGCCATTACTTTAATAATGCAAGTTTTGAAGTCCTGAGTTGCAAATGTCAGAGACAGAGAACAGAGCTGCCAGGGAATGACTGTGTTCAGGGCGTCAGAGAATTCCATTCTCCCCACCTTCGCTCTGTCACCAAATTTCTTCCCCAATTCTTCCAACCTATTGGGAATCCTTCCTGTAGTTCAAGGCTGTTTGGATACACTGGTTCGAATACTTTAAAAATCCTACACTTATTTCAATAATAGAGGATTGATAGGTGAAAAGGGTAGACTCAGAAAAGCTTGGGATGCCTTGAGAAAGGGGGAAAGAATGAGACCTAAAAATTCATGAGCCGGGGACCCCCTAAGGCTGTACTGAAGACAGTATTGAGACTAAAGGTCTCAGATGAAAAATGAGATACCCAGGAAATTAAGAAAGGCACAATGCCCCTTCCATATTTGCTAATTCCTAGTGTATTCATTTCATCCACAGGGAGTATTTACAGCAGAGAGGCACAAAAGGAGAAGCCCGGGACTATTTTTTTTTCTTATTAACAACTTCCGATGAACGAACCAGTTAAATTCAAGAGGTTAGATGGAAAAAGGCAAGAAAATGGTTGCTTAGGGTGAGGAAGAATAGAAATAACAATTTTAAAGGAACAGATATTTGGAAGATCATGAGCAAGTCAACAGCAACAGAAAATAAAATGCCCATCCTGGGCAGATCCTCCCAACACCTTTATTTGATGCTCCCATCTCTATCTGAGCTGCTTTTTCCCCTAGCATGTGCGGCTGGCCTCCAAACCATGGAGTAAACCTCCTGGTACTTATCTCGACTATTTTTGGGTGTTAGTCTCCTATTTTGTTACTTTATGTTCCCCAGATGAATGCAATCTTTCTATGCTCTCTCTCTCTCTTTCTGACTCATTTTGCTTAGTCTACAACTGTACCTCATGGTATTTCACTAATAAAAATTTTAAAAAATAAAAAATTTTAAAAAATGAAAAAAGAAAAGGAAAGAAAGTGCCATTGTTATCTAGATCAGGCTTCCTCACTGAGCCTGCCTGGCCTTGAGGTGTGGCCTGTCACCAGCAGCAACTTCTGGGACTGGGGGCCACGCTGTCTCCCCACCCAGTGACCACAGGCTCCTCCTTGCAGAGCTGGCCCTGATATTTACATTGTGAAAAAATTATCTTCCTTTTGAGTGAACTAGTTCACCTTTTCTCTTTAAGTATAGAATTGTATCTTCTTTTGGAGTGGGGTGAACTGAATGGAGTTTATAGGCATGATAATTTTCAATGACATATAACTGAAACTTAGATAATGTGTTAATGTGACGGTACTTAATTTTTTTTTAAATGCCACCTAGTAAAGGGCTGGATTCTCCATGCCTGGATCTGGTCCCAGTAGGTGCAACTGTGCATCACTTAGCAGGTGGTTAAGAAAGAAACACCAGCTGGTCACCTGGGGCAGGGTCTTGGCCTCAAATTATGATGGATTCATTCATTGGCTCAGACCTGGGGTAAAGTATAAAGCATTGTTTCTAGTTCTAGTTCCTCTAGGTCAGTATCTCCTCAAGATACTGACCAAGCAGCTGAGGCTAACTTCACACATGGCAAAAGACAGACAACAAACCCTTCTCTGTGGCTTAAAATACACCATACTCTTCAATCTGAGGAAACAACAAAGATTTTACTTTGAACAATGCAGATTGATACTGAGTTGTCTTCAGTTGAGGAATACTCATTTAAAAGCGTGCTTCTTTATCCCAAGATGGAATTTATAACTAATATTATGTACTTATTTATATTCACCAATATAAGCTATGACCTAAGCATGTATTTTGAATTCAAGCTTAAAATAATATGGCTTAAGATTGTTCATTTTTTTCTTGGTTGTTTTCTTAGTTTGTATTATCACTGTGCTATAAACTTTGATTGGTTTTCTGGCCAATCTCTGAGACACACATAGGCACCTACACATACATACACACACCCTACCATAATACTATGAGTTGGAATTCCTATGTACAATTGTACTAATTTCATCAGTACCTATGTACTAATGAAAAAGTGAAATGATCATCCTACAATATGCTCTTAACACAGAACCAGAAGATCCCAACTGGTAAGCCTATTTTATTCACCTCATCCATACTTGGTCATCAGAAATTTAATGGGAAATCAGTGGTGTCTGACCCCCTTCAATTTGGCCCCTATTTTCTCTATGCATGCGTAAGATAAAAGTGTTGAGGGTTCTTACCGGGCTGCGCCTCTGTGATCAGCAAAAAGGAAGAGAGAACAGACACCTAGTCAGAGAATGATGGATCAGTCAACAGGCTCAGGTAACAGGAGACTTTATAAACAGCCAACCATAGACATCCTCCAAATAAAAAAACATGCCTACAGAAAATAGGCTGCCATTGTGTTTGGGGTGTAGTTAGACCATGCAGAAACTTTCAAGAACCTTGAAGAGAATCCACCCATTGTGTAAATGACCTCTGCTCTGGGGGATATTCTAGTTTTTAAGCTATGCATACAACAAAAGGCAGGCAAGAACATGCAAGCAAACTTTATGGATAGCTTTTAATGTCTTTATCATAAGGAGTTTTTATCCAGATTTTTTTTTTGGGTAGGAAGGGAGGTTGGTTTTAGAACAGGGGTAACTGAGAGGTCTAATTTTCAACCATAGGGTTTGCAAATATCATAGACACAATACACATCCTATAATCAGGGCCAAAAGGGAAACTAAAATTCAGGGACCTCTTCTCTTCTTTAGGATTTCTCTCTTAGAACAAGAGTAACTATGAAGTGGCTGGGGAAGGTGTTGGCTGTGAGCTTCACTTTCAGGATGTGGACTAAGCAAAGAATTCAACAGGCCACGTGGGATGGAGGTTGGCCTAATCCCCAAATCCAGGACAGGAGCACAAAACCAAAAGTATATCTAGACTGCTCCTGTGAAAAGCATGGGATAAAAGCACATATGGAATGTAAAACAAGAGAAAGAATTACGTTAGTACTTGACAGACATCTGTTTGGCAACCAAAGTAAGAAAAAAGAGCTGCATCCAGGATGTAATGAATCAGAATTTGAGAATGAGGTATGGACTCCTGGAGGCTGGCCAATCAAGACAGAACCTGGCACCTTTAATAAGGGGTCTGGAAGGATGGGTAACAGTTCTGGGACCACCGATAAAAGCCAGGCATTCATCAAAACTGTGTATGAAAGCAGAAGGATTCTGATTATTGACAGAAACAGCTCTGCATTTCTCTTTAATGTGTCTGTGCTCATGAGCAATGAACTGCAGCATCAAAGGACCGATCTAGTATGCATCCTGATCCTCTCTCCAATGAAGTCACATGAGCCCAACTAAGTGAATGAAAGACTAGATGCCAGAAGTGTCTCCTGGTGCAGATTTGGGGTAACTGGGACTCTGACACGACAGTAAATACTGTGAGCTGATGTTACTTAAGTGTTTGGGAAGCTATATGAATCAGAACCTAAGTGGTATATTTTGTGTAATGAGTTAAATCTTGTGCAGGCTGTTGAGTGTTCTATTATGTGAAGTACAACAAACAATATTTAAAGGTTATATATGCCTGGCCAGGATGAATCCTGCATCTGGTGAGCTACTTACTACAGGTGGTTATCCTCTTTAGGCAGGAAATAAAATAGAGAGTGTTTTATACAAAGAAGCCTCAGTGAAGGTCAAGTCTAACTGCCTCTTAAAACTCCACAGAAGAGAGAGACTAATAGCAATTGAACAGTAAGCAAGCAGAACTAGAGCGAGTTCATAGATTTATCCCTTCTGCACACTCACATTCTCCTTGGATTCCTAGTGAAAGATTGTAGGAGCAAGAGTTACTGATAGATGGATTCTATAAGACTTTTGACATATTTAGATGAAATTAAAGAGGCAGCATTTTAGAAAGGTCGATCTCAGTGTTTCCACGGTATAGTTTGCTAATTTTTAAATAGATTCAGAACTCGTGACAATATGTCTCATCTCTTACATTAGCCAACAAGACCTTTTCAGACTGGTGTTCCTAAAGCACTGTGCTTTAGGAAAAATTGCCTTTATATGTCTAGATGCATCTGTCCCTCCTGTCATACCAATGCATCAACGTAATGCTGCTCTGTTTATCTTCAACTGATTGCTTCAATTATATCTCTACCTGATATCTTCAATTATATGCTGGATGTCTCAGCATAAACAGATCCTTTGTAATTTTGAGAGGGACACCCAAGCAGTGTGGCAGGGATCCAGGGGGGTATTCTCAGTGATACTTGGCCTGGCAGTATAGATTGGCTGGTTCAGTTTTGGCCCCAGTGATGCTGGGGTTAACCATGGCTACCCCAGTGGCGCTCCAGGGCCACTAGGGATGCACCTGGTATTACTGTGGTGGGAGATGTGGAGTGCAAAGAATTGCACACAAGGTCTTTGTGTGCAAAGCATGTGCTCCAGTCCTTGACGCACTCTTGGATCACCGCAATGTATTTATATAAATCAATGTTTTCCCATTGCTAAGCATGTGTTTTTACCATGCTCTTTATTTATT